CCGCCCGCCCCCCCCGCCGCCCGGACCCCGCGTGAAGCGGGGCGGGCTGCTCGGACCGGCCCCAGCCAGCCTTGCGCCCATCGCAACCAGAGAAGGGCTCCGGGGCTGGCAGTGTCCGGGGGCCTGGACCCTCCGCTGGTCAGGTGCAGGTCTGCCCCCGCACCCCTGAGCCACGCGGCTGGGTCCGCAACGCCTCAGGGGCCCCGACCCGGCAGTGGACCGCACAAGTCACCCCCTGCCAGGCTGAGCCGTGCTGCTGGCCCCGCCGCACCAGCTGGTCGGCGAGGCTGCAGCAGGCGAGGCGACAGCCTTCCTCGCTCATGCCGGTTTATGGGAGGATCAGGTAACGGGCGGCTGAGCCGGACTGCGGGTGACCTTGAGGCCGGCGGGGCTGGCTGCAGGGTCCCGGCCGCACCGACCCTCCTTGCTCAGGAGACGCGGGAGAGCGGCAGTCTTTGCTGTGCCCACCCGGCATGGCCTGCAGACAGCACCACGCTGCGACTGGCACCGCAGCGCTGTGGGCAGCCCCGGCAACCCTGCATAGACGCCCACGGGCCACGCCGGCATCTCACATGTGCCCTGACCTGGCCCCCACCACCCTGAGCTCCCCACAGCTGCTGGCGTGGCGGGCGGCTGTGACCAAGCCTGTGCATGCCACCGCCGCTTCTGAGAAGTGCCGCTTTCTCAGCTCGCTACGCCGCTTAGCCACAGCCAAACGGGACATTTAATCTTCAGACCATTAACCTTGCAACCTTTACACATCAAATGCCAACTGCAGACAACCCCGGGTGCCTGATGCCAGGCTGAGGCCTCCCTCTCATGGGTCCAGGCACAGGCACCCTGAGCTCCTTTCCTGCCTGCCCGCTGTGGAGCATGCACAAGGGCTTCCAGGTGATCCGTACAATATGCCTAAGTCTGGAAGATGACTGAACCACCCCCACTCTTTGCCTGGGACAAGCCTGGACCCCAATCCAGGCAGGTGGGATCTGGCTTTCACTGCTTGACCGGGGGCCAAAGACACCCCCATGTGCCCAGCACATGGCCATGACTGATGCACCAAAGGGCGGTGGATTGTGCCTGCCCCACAGCTCGGGTGCGTCTCAGGAGCCACTGGCACAAGCACAAAGGAGGGTATTTAGTAAACCAATGCACTGCACTAGAGAGAGAAACTTCCCGCTACCTCCAGGTGCGAGGGCTCCACGGCTGTCACTGCCAGGGTCCTATCACCACTGCCAGGTCAGGGACTCAACCGCAGCCTCAAACCATGGGCACAGACTGGCCAAGAAGGAGCCGCTGGACAAGAGTGCCTCTGCAGGGACCCCAGCAAGGCCACAACCAGGGCGCACACATGCTGCCTCACCCTGGCCAGGCTCATGACTGGAAACTGAGGATTTGAGCTTGAAATCAAGAGCCAGCAGCACCAGGACCAAGAGCTAAAAGGGCATCATGAAGCAGGCACATGCGTTCCCTGGGGCCCGCCTGGTCGCAGTGTTAGTGGCACCTATCCTGTGGCATGCACTGCAGCCTTTGCCCAAGGACTGGGGCCAATAAGGGCAGCCGTGGCAAGTCCTGTAAGAATCCGCCTCTGCCAGTCCCCGGCACCGGCCCCCTCCCCCCGGGGAAGGCCAGGGCCCTGTAGGACTCCAGCAGATGCTCACTGTTACACACTTCTCAGCGCACTCGCCCCATCTGGCCAGATGGGGCTGGGACCTCCCTTTGGCTCTGTGCAACTTGACCCGAGCAGGTCCGACCCCCAGTCCACGTAGGCTAGTATCCTGCCTCTGACGGTGGCAGGAGCAGATGCTCTGGAGAGATGGGGGTGCACCTAGAGGGGTTCAAATGCTGAGTCCACCCCAGGGAGCAAACGGCATCTTGCTCCAAGACATGACCAGGAAAGGACCTCTTGCACCACCAGGGCCGAGGCAGGCATGAATCCCAGCAGCACGTCTGCCAGCGCTTGCTCTGCCCCTAGAGCCAGTCCCTCTGCTCCGTTGCGCAGGTTGCAGGGGGGGGCACGGTCAGATGCAATCAGAGCAGCTCGGTTTTCTGTTACATTTCATTACCAAAGCCTCCCACATGCACTCACCACGTGCTCCGACAGGCGACCAGAGGCCCCCCGCACCTCCTCCTGTGGAAAACACGCCCAGCCAGGCCCCGCAGTCGCTGCAAAAGGGCCGTACTGGGCACTTGGTAGCAAGACCAGGAGACGGCTTTAACCAGCACTCACAAGGGACGCACGCCTCTGAACTGTCATCGGCCCTTTCCCCAGTCACCCCTCGGGCCCAGGGGATGTTTCAGCTCCGGGGCATCTGCTGACGACCATTCCCAGATACTTTAAGAAGGGGAGCTGACGACTCTGGTCCTGTCTGGAGGTGCAGAGAACCTTGAGCACCGCAAAGTCGCACGGACTAGACACAACCCCTCCCACTAACTTGGAGCAGACGGGAGCAGCATGGTGCCTCCCCGGGGCCAGGGCCTTGCACCCCCCTGCCAGTACGGTTCTGTAGACCAGGAGGCAGAGTCCAGTCATGCACATGCCCATGGGTGTGCGCTCCTAAGGGGACCCGAATCCTTGGTGCTTTCCTCAGCCTGACAGAGCAGGGAAAAGCTCCACATCTCCTTAGTAAACAGGCACTTAATTAGCAAACATGTCTCCTTTTTATTAACAAAAAAGAACGAACTGGGGAAAATGGCACAACTGGTGCAAGGGGTGTGCTAGAGTCTGTGCTGCGAGGCAGACCGAAAGCAGGCACTGCTGAGGGGGAAGCAGGGAGGCAGTGGCAACGCCAGAGCCACGCTGCAGTTCCCGGCCGAGTAGCCATCAGCACCACGGCTCCGAGCCCGGCACCAAGGGAGCAAACGTCGCTTCCAGCTCCAACTCGAGAGGTAAAACAGCGTCATCGTTTTCACAGCGTTTGGTCTCGGAAGTTCACTGCTCTTGGGACCAGTTTTCTGTTTGAACCAACCTAGAACACAGGAGAAAACCCCAGCACAGCCCCGGTGGGACCTTCCCTGGCAGTCAGCCCAACACGGAGGTAGAAGTCGGTCTTTCTCTCTCCAGGGGGCATGGAGCAAGCCTTGGCCCTGGTCAGCTGGCACTGGGTCTTGGAGATGCTGCTAGGAGATGTGATGCATCAGCATCAGGGTTTATCCTCCAGCTACATCTGAACCAGGTCTTCCCAGTGGCTGGAACAAAGGCGCCTGTGGTTAGCCGTTACACGGCCTCACGGACGGGCCAGGCCGAGCGGTCCCCTCTGAGCGACAGCTGGCAAGAGCCTCACCTCAGCGGGCAGCCTTGGCTTTCTGTGAGTCCACTCCTGCTAGAGCTCCTGCCTCTGAACAAGCTAGTCTCCCAGGTGCCGCGCCGCCCTGCCCTGCCTGGGCAGTTACCAGTCTCTCATTGGACCCACCCAAGAACAGTGCCCGGCTCCCCCTTGCCCCCTGGAAGATGCAGTTATGCCGCCCCATCCAGCTGCAGGCCCCAGCTGCCCCTGTGCTGATCTCCGAGGTGGGCACCCACTGGCCTGGCCCGGCCCGGCCCCAAGCCCGATCTGACCCAAGCCTTCCCTGCAGGGACACTGGTGTGAGGTTGAGGGAGGGCAAACTGCATGAAACTCCTCTGTTTTTCCTCGCAACTGATTCAAAGACAGAGCTACTGCCAAGAAGAGTCCGACACCAAAACCCCAATTCACTGGGCTGCCACCTCAGCCCTTAGCGAGAGAAACACCCTCCAGACAAGCTGGGGGAGGGTCCGGCTGTGGAGCTGGCTCCCGGGGCCCACTCTTACAGACCAGCTCAGGCAGGAACAAGGTCCCCTTCCCACTCACCTTGTCACATCATGATGCACGACACTCCCATGCAGCCCTGATTCCCGTCCTCGCTGCTGTCGAGCTTTTTCATCCGGTACTGGCGGATCTCTCGCACCAGCGTGTAGAAGGCGTCCTCCACGCCCTGCACGCAAGCAATCCTGGTCAGGCCTCTGCCCTGCGCCCTGCCCACCAACCCGGCGCAGCAGCTTCTCGCCAGCAGGGGGTCAGGACCCCGCAACTCTCTTCCTGAGGGAACCAGCACTTCGCACCCAGTCTCCTGCTGTTATGCCCTTAACCCTGTGCTTTCCTTAAAGGAAGAGGCATCAAACAAGGAGCCAGGACTGCAGCCTTCAAAGGCAGAGGGAACGCAGGGCAGGGCTGGTGAACGGAGCTCACATCTCCAGTACGAAGCGGGTATATCTAGGGAAGCTGCACGTTCGGACCACTGCACCTTTCCTCGATTCCTCCGCAAAGCGACAGGGATGAAGCACGGAGGGGGAGGCTGCAGAGGGGGCAGAGGCCACAGCACGAGCATGCCCGGGGGCTGCGCTTGTTCTGGCCACGTGCTCACTACGCAAGTTCCCGTGGCCTCAGATGCGATCGTCTCTGGTGGGCGCGGGCTGCTCAGCAGCAACAGACCCAAACCCAGTAAGAAAACCCTTCGCGCAAGGGAGCCTGCCGGCCTGCTCTGAGCAGACGGGAGGGAGCCGAAACCCTGCGCTGTGGCGAGAGCGCAGCGATGCGCGCCGACGCTCTGACGCGGCTCAAGACAGCAACGACGCTCCGCGCACCGCACCGAGGTCTACCCGAAAGCTGACAGGAGCAAACAGGCCGGGAGCTGGCACACGTCCCTGCTCCCGTAGGCAAGCAGCACCCCTCCAAGGAGCAGGAGCACAGGTCTGCGTACAGCACCATGCGCGGGCCGGCCCGGCAGCTCGTTACCTGTCTCGTCTTGGCAGACGTCTCTATGAAGGGGATGCTGTAGCTCTTGGCCAGCTCCTGCGCTTGCCTCGTGTCCACCGTCCGCGTGGGCAGGTCGCACTTGTTCCCCACGAGCACCATGGGCACGTCGTCCGAGTCCTTCACTCTCTTGATCTGCTCCCTGGAGAAGCGGGCC